GAGATGATATAATCAGTTTATCTGGGATTTTTGTTCAATTGAGTTCGTTCGTTGGGCGGTTTTTGTTTTTTATTTATTTCTATTTCTTTTGCGGAATAGCCTGCGCGAGATTGTCCAACTAGTCCATTGCTAGTAGGTTTGTACCGCGCTCCCTAGGTATACGCATACGGTGTACTGTGTACAGTACATCCTCCGTCTCGGAGTTAGGGCTAGTTAGCGAATTTGAAAACCAAAAGAAAAGGTATTTGTAAAATGTAAGCGGAGGAAAGGAAGGAGGATTGCCCTTAACGAAATCCTCGAGTCTTGAGTCTTGCTGCTATTGACTGGCTGACCGCATCATGCACCCTGCACCTGGGGGGCCCTGCAACGCTACCTACAGTGCTTTTCCCGGCGATTCTGGTCGTGCCGAATCCGACCAGATGCCCGAAGTTGCCGAGCCCCCTCTTTCTTGCTCTTCTTTCGCGAGAAGTTCGCAACCAATCGTGTCATGGGTCGACTCGGACGAACAGGGTGTCTGTTTACGGGCGGCTGCGAACACTCTCGACTCGGTAAACTCCCTAAGTATGTAACTACCTAAGTACCTTATGCGACGTGCGTCCGCGGCTTTGCTTTGCACTCTTTTACAGGTAGATACATCCATCCATCCATCCATCCATCCATAATACTGTAGTCCTGGGTATAAGCGGCAGGGACAAGGTTCGCCTAAGGCCGCGCGTCATAAAAAATTATACTCTGTAATCTTATTTGTGTCCGAAACTGAATCCTGAGGGTAATCAAAATAGAATGATCCAAATAATCGGCAGGGAAAATGAGACATCGTAGGATGGAATGTTGTGGCTGATGGAGGCGTGATTGAGGCGGCAGGGATGGGTTCCCACTCCACGGGGGGGGAAGTTGACTTTCCGTATGCAGGTGTATAACATGAATTGGAAACACAACACTACGGGGATATCCATAGACCATGAAGAGCCCTGGTTTGTTTGACAGTTGTTCATATCTTGGGTCTAATAATAATAATAATAATAATAATTAAGTCCATGATCCTCGTTTAGTCGAGGTACAGAACCTACACCACACAGAAAACTGTCGCACTGCTGGAAACGGTTTAGCGCGTCGCACCCCCTGGTCAAAGGAACACGGGGAGGTCGACCGTATACTCCGTCTTCATGTCCACGAATGTACTACGATGTTCTTGGGTTGCAAGCCCGCGAAGTCACAAGACAGGGCTTATATCGAGGAGTAAGGCAGCAGCGTATTGAGGCTAAACTAGCCAGAAGTTTAATGGTTGGACTTTTTATCCGCGACCGCCGTTCTGTCCGAACAACGAACGATTTGTGATTGCCCAGCCTCTTAGATGGAACACTGGTGCATTGGCTCACTCGTCGTCGGATTAGGGATCAGGGATCGTTTGATTGTTGGAGTCGAAGATGACTTGCCACGCTCTCTCCTATTTCAGATTAGGGATAGAGTGTTAACTGTTCAGACGACCTGCATCCTGACCGCAATATCAGACCTTGATTAAAGCTTGATTGTCAGGTATAGTAGGGGTATCTTGATCTGCAATTGCCTGTTAATCCCCAACTTCCAGCCCGCGATGTGGATATGAGCTGCCTAATTGGCAATTATGAATAGACTTCAAATCCCGTGGCTTATACATGGACAAACAACCACCACCATGCAGGCGTATGGAGTCCATTGTACGCCCTGACACCTTAGACGATGCTCTGTTTCGTGGTTGCAGATGGATATATTTTGACAACGCTCCCAGCCCACATAACGTAGCTCCACTTCCCCCTCACTCTCTATCGCCAACCCTATCAGGTACTTACCAACTTTTACACTGTCAGCGTGCAGCCACTCCACCGTGCCTAACCTTGGGCATTTGCCTGTTCCTCATATTCTATATTTTACCAGGCAGGGAGCCGGACTATTTCTAGATCAGGAATGAGGCGTGAATCCAACAGTCACCGATGTAAAACTAGGTCGACATCAACGGCGATAATTTACGTCAGCCCAAACAACCCCCTGTTAACTAACGAACTAACTAACTAGTTAACTAGCTAAATGCTAACTAACCGTCCGCCACCGACACCATTAGAAATCGTCGGGCAAAATCCGTCCCTCCGATCTCTCCGTGATTAGGAGACAAAGGATTCGTATTTACATAGCCCTCTCCGACAGGATTGATTGCGTGTTCGTATTATTACTTGTTCCTGGGAGAGGAATGGAAAAAAGGGGGAGAAATCGAAACATATGTATGGAACAAACCTCCGTCCTTACCGACATGATACATTACCTCCATACAAAGTTGCCCTTAATAGACTCTTAGGTGTACTCTTCTTTCCTGCCCCTGTCAATCGCCGAAGTCGCCATTTCACAGCCTGTCCTGACTGGTCATGGGATTGGAGTCTAGACAAAAGCTTAAGATAGGAGCAGGCTGTGTTTTTCTTACGTCTGCTTCGGATATGAATAGAAATCTCTACGAGAGTATAATCGATGTACATACGTCAGTGCGATCGTGCACGATCTAATCACGTATATCCTTTTCAACGGTAAACGGCAACACAAGGCAAAATCAATGATTATCAATTCAATAGTTTTTGAATATCGACATGCTAGATGGCAGATACTCAGTACTCCGTACAGCGTCCATGCCTTGGTAAGGCGCTCAATCATGACGTCGAAGAGACTTCCCCCTAACCCTGTTTAACCAGTCGATCAGAATCAAATACGAGATGGAAGCCGACTAAATCGGGAAATTTGATGTCTTGCTTTTGATGGTCTACCGTACCTTAAACAGCACGCGCTTCCAGTCGGCAGCTTTATATGTAGCGCGTATACTTACTGAGTACATAGAGTTACAAACAGAGTCATTGACTATAATAACCACCCGCTTCTTACCTCATAACTTGAACTTAAGTGGTTATGATATCCTGCACCTGTAGTAACCCGAGGATCGCAATAATCAAACCCCCAGTGCAGCGGGCAGGTCCTCGCGCAGAACATGTACGGAGTACCTGCAGGAACAGAATCCATCAATGACAATTTTGCAGGGCCAGCGCTTTTGGCTTTTTCATTTGTCCAGATTCCGGTGGGGAGGTGGACCGAGAGAGGGGAAAGTCAGTAGCCACAGGGGAGTTCCCTGTCGGCGGGAAGTGGTTTCATCGTGTCTAGACTCTAGACTCTAGACTCCCTGGCTTTTTGCTTACTTTTGTTTATCTTTCTAGACAGTTAGGAAAGTCTGTTCTATGTATGATATATATCAGAAACATTTTATCTCTCTTTTTTCTATCTCTATTTTTATTTTGTTCTAGATTATCTCGCGTACTGACACCTTGACATGACTGTATAGATTTCTCTGGTCGACAGCGTCATGAAAGCTCTAGTGCAGGTCCACTGGATCTAAACGACGTGATCCTCTCAGCATCCACATATAGGGTCGGATCCGGACTCTATCACAACATCCCTGCAAGTAGATGGAGCACGAACATAAATAGCAGCAACACTCGACGATTGATATATCTACCACAAAAGCACATACAACGAAAAACACCTCTTTTCGCAGTTAATATAACTGGAAATATATTAATTTATAAACACCTGTCATCTCACTACTCGAAAAGACCACCCCAACCGATTCATTCAGGTAATCAGGGAAACCCACACTCCCCGAAACATGTGATATGCAGGGGCCGTTAGGACATACCTACATGCTACATCCTACCTGGCCAAGTACATATACATAGTGTGTACATACATAAGAATACATATAAGTGGACAACTCCCTACACCGTACGGTCTCGTACCAACTAACCCGAGAGAAGCTCATACATACATAATACATAAAACCTACCTACCTACCTGCATGCACCCTCGAGCACAGACGCATCCATGCTGCATCCCAGGCAGAGTCTAGACACCCACCGCAAGGATACCTGCATGTGAGCTGGAGGTTCTGATAGGTCCGAACGCGCCCTGTCCTGCATGCTTTTTAATTGTCACCTATTTATTTCCCTCCCATTTCCTGGGGCTCTCATTGATGCGCCCGCCGCGCCGTGCTTTGTGATACCTCGCGAGTCAGTTCTCCGACCACCTACCTACCTAGGTACCTACCTGCCTTGCCTACGCGAATAAGTAAGCTGGAGTCGGTTGTTGAAAGAGTTGAGGGGTGAAGGATGAAGATACTGTTTTTATTCTGCAACGTTGGGACCTCCTTGGGGAAAGGTAAATGATGAGAAGTATATATCGAACTGCAAATATGTACAGTACATGCACTTACTCCCCACTGGAATGCTTTGGTCTCTTGTTTGAGGCTTGTATTCGTGTCCCCCTCACTTAACCCATCTCTCCTTACCTTTGAGTCGCGTTGTTATTACTATATATACATACATACTATAGAACGATGCTCAGCAACTCTCACTAGCTAGGATGCGTGCCGACAGAACTGAAACGAAGGCCATAAAAGTAACTGGCGTCCGCGAATCAGCGTCAAACCAAGATAACTATCTCCCCACAGGAAGAGATGATTTAGCTGGCGATAGGCAAAACAACCGAGAATCTTCATTATCTTTTGGTGACTCAGAAGGTCCTAGAAGCTTTATATGAACCTATGCACTATCGTCAATTTGAATATTCGTCTATTTAACTAGGTGTCGCAGATTTAACGCAGAATATTTCATATGCTGAATCCCCCAAAAGAGCTCGGGATCGCATCTCCGAATTATCGCGCTGCTTGGTTCATTTACGCTGCGTGAAAAGGGCCAGACAATGCATTGGGGAATAAAAGCCCAGATCGAGAGGAAATAATGCTGACCTTTTATAAAAGAAGCATTACTAAAAACATCCTAAGATCCATCTACCACTTTGCGCTTCGCGAGAGCTAGACGTCGGATGCTATCCTTTTGATCTTTTGGGCTAGACGAAAAGTCCTATGAAGAAGGCGCTGAAGTCGAGTGCAAGGAGCGCAAAGGATTCGCTCCTCGCATCTCTCTTTCCGATACATGCGAAAGCTCGCTATCAATGCTGAACAGAACCGTCTCGGACGTCTCGATCACCAAGGTCGATGTCCCTTCCGTAACCCGACTTCGATGAATCCTCATCCCCAGCATGATCATCCCCCCATCAACATCCTCCTCCAACCCCTTCGTCGTAATCCTGCTGGGTTTTCCGATGGGCACAATCCCGACATCTTTCCCACCGAGGTCCCCATCATTCCCCCGCACTCAGATGGAATGACGACCGGGTTTAAGAAGAACCAGCAGGTCCTTTCCCGCGACGAGAAGGACTCTCCCACAAGCATAGTCTGGCCCCGGCTGGAACAGATACAGATAATGAATCAAGCGAAGTCCATGATCAACGCGACCACCAGGATCTCCAACCATCACGATGTCGATGTTTGTGGCGTAGTTCTTCCGGATCCAGTGGACTGCTTTATCGGGGTCATAGAGATTCTGGTCACAGTATTCGACCACTTGAGTAGGGCTAGGGGGAGCGGTGAAGTATTCTCGAGCATCAGGCCGGAGTGAGTCCAGATCTCCGACGATTGCGTCGAGGGTTTTCTGCTGCGGGTTAGGTATTGGTTGCCGGTTGATATCAGGAATGGGTTACTTTTACATACATCTGGAACGAATGAGCTCGGGACACATTGGAGCAGATCGTATATGCGGTTCGCCCCGCCATCAGCTGCTATGCGTATACGAGCTAAGGGCGATCAGTCCACCTCACGTCTAAATAAGGTGGGAGCGCCAAACCGTTCTTCCATAATGAATCTAGTATTGGCCCGGGAATGAGGGGGCAATTAAGGAGAAGTAGAGCGAAATTGGTACATTGCACCCGTTCTGATTGAGTATGATAGATGAGGTCGAGGGTATGCCACTCGAAATGAAGGGCCATAGTCGAGACGTTGGATCTGTGGTAAAGTAGAAGAGTGGGAGATGATCTTTCTATAGTGAGTAGTTTTGCACCTATACGGAATACCAATGACTACTAAGTAGTGGGGAAGACACCGGTCGAACTAGGATTATAAGAACTAGAAAAATTTCCACCTCCATCAGTACTTTGGGTTTTTCCTTGATCTACTCTACTCCATCTCGGTCTACGATGATGCCCCCGCAACTCGCTCTATCTGTATTGATTCGGCGCTCGACGCCTACCAAACCTCCGCAAGCACATACATCTCGCAGCGGCCTTCCAAGCAGCTTGTCGGGATCCTCTGCGTAGCTGTCATCCTCCATAAGGGTCGAGTATTACTCATCCGACGGGCAGCCGACGACAATTACCCCAATGTCTGGGAAGTACCGGGCGGCGTGGCGCGTGACAACGAAACAATCATCGACTGTGCCGTGCGTGAGCTCTGGGAGGAGACCGGTCTACGGGCATAGGCTGTCACGAATGTGCTTGGGGAGTTTCAATATGGCAATAGCTTGCTCCTCCCGAGTGGTTCTTCTCAAAGAGGGAAGTGGATAATCTTCATATTCCGGGTGATGGTCGACGACCAAAACTCGGAACTAGAGATCAAACTTGATCCCAAGGAACACAGAGCGCATCTGTGGGCCACCAGAGAAGAGGTTCAGGATGACTCCTGTGGGGATCTCAAGCTGGACTGGATCTCGGTGAACCAGAAGAGGGCAATCTTGGAAGCATTTGACGAGGCCGAACGTTAGATTGGATTGGATTGGAATGGGATGGCTTTGGGGGAACTCTGTGAAGATATTATCATTATGATACTAGTTTGGGCAGATCTCACACTCTCTCGTTGATTCTCTCCCTGTTTCAGGGTTCTCTCTCGCCATCTCGAGTACATGGTGGAGTCTTATAGAGAGGATGTCGGGTCCCTCAGCGGCTCGCTCGCAAAGCTAACCCGAAGCAGAAGGCGACCCATCGGCTTTCTAATCATCTGCAGACAAGTAACTAGTTACCTCGATCACTTCTCGCCTCATCCTCTCATCCTTTCATCTCCAGCCCACTCCAGACCATGAGGCAATGCCGCTTGTCACCTACACAATCTTATGGTCCGCTCAGTGAGCCGAAGCAGGGGCTGTGCCCTGTGTCTACGACGCAAGATCAAGGTTGCCTCGAACTTCTAGTCTGCTTGGCCAATACCCACTAATTGCCTCTCCAGTGTGACGAACGCCGTCCGGAATGTTCTCAATGCAGACGAGTTAGGAAGCCCTGTCCTGGTGTCTACGGGGGTCTGTTCATGGTCAACGCTGCCGCTCTGCCTGACCATGCCCCCCTTCAGAGAATCCCAGTCGAGCCGTCTTGCCAGCCCTTGTATGAGCAGGCCCTCGTATCCACTTTTATTGCTTCATTTTCCATATCGGACTCCCACTCAGTGCAACCCGACTCCTGGACTCAATACCTTTCCACATGGGCTTCCTCTCCCAAAGCGCTGGGCTGGTCTATTAGAGCAACGACGCTTGCCTTTTACGCACAGGTATCCCAGGAGACGGCTATATACCAAGAGGCCAGTCGATGCTATGCACATGCCCTTCGAGGCCAGAGTGTCTCCGTGAACCAGTGCCTGGAGGGGTTCGGTGGTCAAATAACCGTCCCCTCAAAAGTACCCACCGAAGAGGATATCTACGCATCGCTAATGTTAATGTACTACGAATTGATCAGCCCGGCTTCTATAGGTAGCTGGATCACACACCTGCGAGGAACTGCTCAGCTTTTACTTTTGAGAGGGCCGCAGAACTGCCAGACCGGCGCTATCCATCTTGTCTTTCGTTCAGTACGATTGTTGCTCGTGAGTTTTTTTGTTCTTCTGTCGTTCGTGGTGGACCGAGGGCCCAAACTGAGACCTCTCTGCTACAGGCTCAAGCATCCATTACAATCCAGGAGCAGTCATGTTTTGCCTCTCCAACCTGGTGCGATATGCCGTTCGCTCTATCCAAGAAGACCGCACTGGACATTCTCCTCGACGCGATGCACGAGGTGATCGAATTACTTCGCTTGGGACAGATTGAAAGGTGCGGAGATAAAGAACGACTGCATCCCCTAATCTCTCGGTTGGAAAGCCTTGCGCAGACGGTCACCAAGAGCGAAAGTGTATACCTCCACGAATTCCATGCATCCTACTCGACCCAGACTATCGCTTCAAACTGTCTCGCGTTCCAGTTGATAGAAGTCGAGAGACTGGATGATGGGATGTGGCTCGGTGGCGGCGACTTCCGCTCCGCTATTCCAGCCGTGATGTTTCACACTATTCGAATCTTGATGGATCATCTCCGGCGTCAGACAACGGATGAAGACTATTTCGCGGAGGAGTCCACGACTAGGTGCTCCGTTTTGCTACAGTTTGCGCACGGTCTCTTTCAACGTGATCTATTGGGTAAATTGAACGAGGGATCGTGTATGCAGCTTGTGTTTCCGTTGGAGGTAGTACGGCGGTATAGTCTGTGTGAAACGCAAAAGGTGCAAGCTAGGATCTACCTTGATCGATTGGGTTGGAAAGAAGAGCCTTAATACCATGACATCACACTTGAGGTTCTACATAATATAGCTTTGACAATGGTGTTTCTGGATTGTCAAGCGTGTCAGCTGTGTCAACTGAAAGGGAAACTGGATTTCCTGTGGCTTCAATGCACTTGAACTTCCAATATATCCTTCAAAACAGGGTCTCCCTCTTGTCTGCCAGATGAAAAACAGTTAGAAGGTATGGTCCTCCTCCCTTCTTGCATTCCAAACGCTAACTCCCCAAAGTAAAACCGTCAAAACATGCAAATCAACCCTTCCATAACTCTCGTCCCAACAATAACAGCAGCTCCCTCAACCTAAAACTGTCCCCGCTGCTCAACCTCCCCCAAAGGAAGAATCCACGGCACTCTAGTGGACGTATAAAACTCCGCATCGACGCCTTCGTCCAACGATGCAGGCTCGGTCAACGTGCCCGCCTGAACTAGTTTCAGTCCCTGCAACTGCTTAGCCGTGGCCTCTTTCCACAGCGTAGTGCCACAGTCGGGACAGAAGAAGATCGTCAACACCATGCCGTATTCATGGTCTTTGGAGAACGATCTGGGGTTGCCTTTCGTTAGGCGGAAGGCCTGCTCTGGGACGGCGTAGTTGACGGTGTTGCTGCTGCCGGATATGCGGCGGCAGGAAATGCAGTGGCATAGCGCCTGTGTATGGGGGTTAGAGTTGGGGACTTCTTAGAGAGGGAGAAGAAGGGCAGATTCTTACTTTGAGGGCTGGCGAGCCGGTGTAGGCGTAGGAACAGGCATTGCATAAACAACTTCCGGTGATGGTGCTCATTGTGAATCCTGAGTAGTGAATACTGAATAGTAATGGACTGTGGACTGTGGATTGTAGAAGATGGATCTACTCCGTCCTATGGTCTCTAATTTATGGCAACTCACGCAGGCGAACTCCACTGCATTCGATTGCCAATCTGGGCTAGTTTTCCGACTTGCTTCTCCTCCACCCATGGAAGGAAACCACCGGACTCGATCAGTAGTCCAATTAATAATACCCAAGTGATTGAATCAACCATCCTGTACGCACACAAGCCCACTGATGTCAAATCAATTCGTCTACATATAGCAGGAAAACCCCACCCTGGCATCCCCATCCCCTCACATCTCCTCCCCCATCACCGAACATCCTATCCTATCTACATCTCCCTACCAGCCCATCCACCCACCACAAGAACAAGATGCTCCTCCTCATCGCCGGAATCACAGGCTCACTAGGCTAACGTCTCGCCGAACAAGCCCTAACCCGCGGCCTCTCCGTCCGAGGCCTCGGCCGCAACCCATCCAAACTCCCCCCTCGACTCTCCCAAGCTCTGGAATCCTTCATCCCCTGCACCTCCCACGCCGACGTCGACGCTCTCCACACTGCCGTTACAGGCGTCGACGCCATCGCATGCGCCTACACCACAGACCCAGTGCTCTACCTCGAAGGCGGCCTCTTGCTCCTCCGCGCCGTCGAAGCCGCCAACGTCAAGATCTTCATCGCTGCGTCTTGGACCCAGGACTGGAAGAATATCCGATACGGGGATTTTGAGCTCTATGACTCTATTCTTGCGTTCGTGGACCACGTCGCTGCTACGAGCTCTATTAACCCGGTGTATTTGATTAATGGTACCTTCGCGGGGTGGATGATGCGGCCGAGTTCTACTGCCGGAGATGGAGACGGATCGGTACGCTGCGAATTCTGGGGCGCCGGCGACACGAAACGAGTCTCCTGGACCACGATGGATGATGCAGCGGCATACACGATCGAGATCCTATGCAATGACCCCGCAGTCCGAGCTGGCCAGGGAGGAATCTTCCGGTTCCGATCTGGTGAGCTGACGCTGCGCGAGATGGCAGCTGTTTATGAGAAGGTGACGGGGAAGGAAGTTGTGGTTGTTTGTAAGGGGAGCTTGGAGGATGGGGAGAGGGCGTTGGATGCGGCGAAGAAGGAGAAGGGGCGGGCTGGGATTTGGGAGAGGTTGCTTTTGTCGTCGAGTGTGGTTGCGGCTAGGGGGTTGTGGGAGTTTAGGAAGCCGGTCATGGATTTGACGTATGTGAAGAAGCCGAAGAGCTTTGAGGATCATCTTAGAGAGAGGATGAGTGGGGGTTCTTAGTTTGGTGAGGGAGATAAGGAAAAGTAGGTTAGGTTAATATAGTATGTGGGTGGATATTGTTTTGATTTGAAAGCTGCCTAGGCTCCTATATAGGAGTTCCAAGGCTGAGAAGTAGGATGTGACTTCTAACAAATACCGTGATATGAGATATATCTGGTATAACCTGTCAGGTATAAAAATGTAGACCTGGATTCAAGGCAAACAACCATGTCCACTCACTCAATCACTACTTCTTGGACAATTTCCTTGACCCTTGCATCAGACTCGGTTGATCACCGTCAGACTCACTATCTTCAACCTCGACCCCCACATCCACGATAGCGGTTTCATCCTCCATGGAGTGAATGGCATGCTCCACATTAACCTTGGGCCCCGTGAACCATTTGTGCGCATCGACCACCCACCAGATGCCGACCGCCAGCATCGGCGCGCCGTACACGAGGCACGTCCAGTTCATCAGATCCGGCGTCAGATTCCCACCCGTGACGCTGGGAAGACACAGAATCGGGATCATCAGCAGCACGAACGACACGCCGAGGCCTCCGATGACGCGCCCAAAGGGCCCCAGATGCCAGGGTCCGCGACGAAAGCGGTTTCCGACAAAGAAGACCCGGATGGCGATGGGGATGGAGAAGGCAACGAATTGAGCAATGGCGCCGATGGAGAACAGCGCCCCGATTGCCACGTCGCCGGCTAGGATCAGCAGACACATAAGGATCCCAATGACGGCGTTCATGATCACGGCATTCACCGGTGTGTGCGTGCGAGGGTCGACTTTCTTCCAGTACCGGGACCAGGGGAAGCAGTCGTCTCGTGCGTACGCGTACGTCACCCGGGATGCGGCCACCATGCAGCCCTGGCCCATAGAAAATCCGCAGATAATCGTCAGGGCGAGAATGCCCATGGCGGTCTTCCGGGGCATCACCTGTAGCAAATAGGAGGCCCAGGGCTGGCCGAGGTCAGAGTCAATCACTGCTTCGATGTCCAGCACGGTGTAGGCGACGACCAGCTGCAGGAACCAGCCCATCAAGCCACCCACCCCGGACGTCATGACAATTGCGCGCGGCGAAGCTATATTTGCGTTGGAGCATTCCTCGCTCAGGTGGAACGGGGAGTCGTAACCCGACATGGTCCAGATGACGCCGACAAAAGTCATGAGAACAGCCACTCCATCTGGGAAATCGGTCAGGTTGGTGATGGTCCCCCAGACCTCCTTGGATGGTTGAAACTTGGGTTCGTTCTTGGTACCCGCCGGAATGGCGATGATGACGGCGATCAAGGCCAGCATGTTGAATGTTGACCCGTACGAGTTGAACTGCGCCACCCATTTGGTTGGCATACTACTGACGGCGGCATGGATGATCATGATCAGCGTGGTCAAGAGGAAAGTATGCCAGGTCGTGGGTACATAGCCGGGATTCGCGATGGAGCCTGCGGCTAGGATCATCGCAGCGAGGGAATAGTCCACGGACGGTGCTGCAGTAATTTGACCGATCCAGTTGGACCAGCCCGTGATCCATGCCGCAAAAGGGCCGTACTTTGGAGGCGCAAGTACTGCTGCTGCATAGTAGAGTCCGCCGCTGGAGAGGAGTTAATTAACCGCCTGCCCGTCAAGAGCTTCTGTTTTATATTTTGACGTGTACGTACCTGGTAGGCATGGCGGAGCATAGCTCGGCCATCGACATTGCAACGCATTGAATGAAAAGCATAGCAATGATCCAGCCCCAGACCATACCCGCCGTGCCAGCGTAGCCCATTCCTGACTCCGAGTCAGCGTTTGATAGCACATTCAAGGATCACAGGGCCAAGTACCATAGTAGAGTGTACTGGCGAACGAGGGCAACAGGCCCAGAACCGCAAAACTGACACAGAACGTGGTCCACAGCGAGAACTCGCGCTTGAACTCCTGCTTGTATCCTAACGCCGTGATCACCCTCTCATCTGCATCCATCGCATGGTCCGTGTACGGGACGTCGCCGTTCGGCAGCACCGAAGAGACCGGGGCATGGTCGATGTTGGTATATACCGAGCTTTTGATGGGGGCTCCATCCGATGACCGACTCCGGTCCATAATGAATCTTACAGGCGGGACAGCACCTTCATTCGTTCTGGCCCACGAAAAAGGGCCGATAAATAAGAGGACTGCACGCGCGAGGACCAGCCAGCCGACTGGAGAGTAGAAAAAGGACCGAGCACGGCGTTTCCGTCGAGTTTTTAAAGGCTGATAATGATTCTGTGTCGCTTCTGGGGCGTGTTAAAGTTTGACAAGCGATAACTGGGGATCGCAGTCTTGCAAAAATCGGTTTAGACAGGACCAATACTCATATAGAAAGAGTTATGTCTTAGCCGTGCGGGAGGCGTATCCCTTCGGGGACAGGCTCACATCCTGGACACCTGATACCCCGACAGATAGATCGAGAGATAAGAAGATGGATGACAATGCTCTCTTTGCCTTACAGCCATCAAGGTGAGGGGTTCACATGCTAATCCGCTTGGCGCCAGGTCACGCTGCATCCAATAGTGACGCTGGCGATGCGATCCCCGGAATGCAGGACCATCTGGATTGGACCAGCGTTGGACTAACCACGAGCTGCTCCGCATCATCCTGGTGAGATGTATCGTATCTAGACAAAGCTTGGCGACCAGTCCATACTCCAAGGGGAAACTCCAGGCGCGCAGAGAGAAGAGAGAGACGAAGAGAGACGAGCTTATCAGCGCCGCGTGGATGGTTGGATGATAAGCCTGAGAGATAAGGCAGGATCCGCTGCATTCACGGCTGGACACACGGGCCCATTCCACACATTGCAAGTAACAAAGGGCACTAGATTTAGACAGGGCGGGTTTATGTGCTATCAAACTCTCAATCGTTATTCTACACAGTACATCTCCTTCGCCTAATCCTCGAGAATCTAGTCAACAGGAACAGAATACCCGCAAATGTTGTATAAGGTCTTGTATATGATTAATGGCTGAAGAAATGCACTTTGGAGGATCAAACAAAAAACACGTTTAGAAGGGCTGGTCAAGTGTCAGTACGATAATCGCCCACACCATGCAAGCCAAGGGCAGAAAACATACGTTGTCCTCGGGAGCGACCGTCCGGTCGAAGTAGGTGTCGAAGAAAGGGAACTGCTGCAGGATATCCTTGCGGACACGGGGGACCTCGCCGAAGAAGAAGAGGGCGAAGACACCGGCGCTGACGCCGAAAGTGGCGGCGATGGAACCACTGTACCACCCCGGTACATTAGCATTTCGTCTCTTTGAAGACGTCGTCGCGGGAGATCAAGCGGGAAGAAACTCACTACTTGGTGGCATCACCCACGGTCAGGCCATGGAAGTGAGGGCTGGTGGTGTACCTAAGATCATTGCATGCCACGATCAGCTGAAATTCTCAAATGCTCTTCGCCCTCGTATGTGGTGCTAGCTTCCAATGGCTCGTTGTCGACACGGGGAGGGTGAAGTCTCGCCCAGGCCATGTTTCAGTGATGCGGAGGCTTCCATGCCGGTGGCCACGCCAGGGGAGCATGGACAGGCAATTCACCCAACACCGCATCATAGGCCTCAGAGAAGCACCTGCCACATAGTGCTCGGCAAGTTCTGAAGAGCGGATCAAATCTCGGGGAGTCTCACTTGGGAGCGAAGGGAGAGCGGTAGGCACCGGCGGACTGGGCCGCAGCGCGACGAAGGGTCTGGGAGAAAACCTAAAGCCGAAGGAAAGAATCGAATTAGCAACCCATGCATTCAATTCCAGAACACCATTGCCTGCTATCAAAGCGCATTGACAAGACATGACCGAACGTCATCAGCGCTGAGGATCTGGCTGCGCGGACCAGTTCGAGAGCCAGTGACGACGCCAAACAGAGAGAGCAATTGAGAGCGAGCGTACGTACCATCTTTGCGAAGACTCGAGAATCACACGAGGAGACAAGAACGACCGGGCAGGAGGAGCGAAAGGACGACGGACAACAGACAAAGTCACGGGTCCGACGTCGACGAAAACCGGCGACCTTCGGGAGGGTCGTGGCTGAGGTAAGCAGACGCCGCCGACGGGGGCGCCACGTGACCTACCAGTCCCGCCGAATCAGAGGCCGTCCATTTACACTCCTCAGGCCATGCGGCATCCAGGCATCTCTGCTATTTCTACTACTAGAATCCTAGAGCACAAGCACGCCAGTATCAACAACAAAATATGGAACATCAGACCGTTATGATCTGCGGTATTGTATTTCATGTGCACCCATTTGAACCAACTCGGACACCGATGCGACTAAGCAAGCAGTAAGAGAGATATAACGAAAAATAAAATAAATATAGGAAAACATGTCAAAAGTATCAAGGACACATCGTGGCTTGTTATCAACCAAAGATGAAAGAAGCCCAAGTGGATCTGCTGATCCAGTAAAGAGTGGGTTGAGGGAGAAAATGTGAACCACAAACGATTAGAAAAGCGAAAAGAATAGAAAACCCAAAACCCTAACTGTACAATAATTCATAGAAGTCCATTTAATCTACTTTCCCCGTCGAGCCGCCGTTCAAAAGACCTTCCTTTCCGTCGAGATGGAAGAATCCGTTACCATTCGTCACGCCGAGGATACCACCGCGGCCTGCACGTCGGGCTCTGCCGCGCGCAATGACGGCGGCTACCACGGCGGAGATGATGAGAAGAATGACAAAGAGGATGGGGTGGTTGACAATGAAGCCCCGGGTGAAGAAGAAGATGGACTCGAAGGTGCCCACCGTCGACTTGGGGGACAGCTTGGGCGGGTTGGCCACCACGAGAGGAATCGTTTCGAGGATGGAGGTACGCGAAGCCATGATGGAAGCTCCGCTCGAAGAAGAGTCCCAATAGCGTCGGTTCTATTCAAAGTTAGTTCTCGTGCATAAAGCCGCTCCAAAGTTGCACAACAGCACTCACATCTTGATCGTTGATGACGACGCGCTCCCCGTTGGCCACGTCAATCCCGTAGGTATTTCTCAGCCAGCGCTCCCAGAAGTCACCGTCGACCCAGGCAAAGCCCACCTGCTTCTTGTCGTCTTCACGGATGGTGATCCGCATGTTCTTGGCAGCCCGCAGGGCCCGCTGGTCGTTGCGGTCGTCGGCTTCTTCAATGCGGAGTTGCTTAGCATCTCGCAGCTCCTGTCGCTCCAACTGGAACAATTGTGTTTGCTTCTCCATCCATTCCAGCGCGGCATTTTTCAGCTCTCTTTTCGACTGCAGGAATTCGTCGGAGCGCGCGCGGCTGAGGATGCCGAGGACGACGTACTTGCCGTCCATGATCTCGCGCGCATTGGAAGCCGTAAGCTCCGGGACGATAGGCAGCCACACAGTTTGCATCCAGGCCAGGATCTGTCGGAAGTCACGCATGTCCTTCGGGGCAATCGGGGTGTAGTAGTTGGCGCGGCCATCCCGCGAGACAAGGAGACGCGGCCAAGTGTTGATCTTGAATCTCTCGGCGAGAGCGCCGCTGCTCGTCTTCACAATTCGAGCATGGCCAACCAAGCTCAGGGTCAGGCGTTCCAGAGCCTCGAAGTCCTCCGAGGTCGTAGCGTCGTCGTAGAAGTACAAGAAAAGAACTTCTTCTTTCTCTTCCAGCTCCTTAAATGTGTCCGCATCGACATCTTGCACACCCAGTCCCACGCTGACCGACTTCTTGGCGTAGCTGACAAGATCACCCAGACCACGCAGACCGGTGTATTCAACCCTCTCTCCGCCGCGGAAGAAATACATGGTCGGAAACGCGCTAACGTGGGCATCGCTGCACAGCCTCTTCTCCACGTCACAGTCGACTTCTCCGACGTTGAGGACGTGCTGCATTTCTTTGGCCATCTGCCTCCAGGTAGGAGCCAGCGACTGGCAGTGCGGGCACCAAGGAGCGTAGAACTTGATGAACCAAGGATCCTTGCTGGTCGTCACAAGCTTCTGGAAGCTTTCGGCGGTGAGAGGAACGGACATTCCCTGCGGATTAGCTGGTGCTGCAGGCGGGGTAGATTTGGGCTTGGGAGTCGCATCTTTCTCGGCGGACGAGCCTTTGTCGGATAGCGCAGCAGCTTTCTCGTTGTGCTCCTCGCCGGCCTTCGCACCAGCCTCGGGGTTTTTGTCCTTGGCGGCAGGGACCTCTGGCTGAGCCCTCGGGTCCATCTCCTTATCACCCGCTTTAGGCAGTTTGAGGCCGTTCGGAGGACGAGATCCAGGCTTGATGGTTTCCAGTTTTCCTTCGATGAAGTCGCTAAGGCCTTTCATCGATTTTTCGCCGTCGAAGTGTTCCACGAGTTCCCCATTGTGATAGAACGAGAAAGTCGGGAAGAATTTGACGCCTAATTCCTTGCACAGGTCCCCGTATGCCATACAGTTGAGCGATGCGAAGTGGAAGTTGTAAAAGGGTTGGAACGAATTCAGCGACTTGGTGTCGGGAGATTTGGATGACGAAGAAGATAGCGGATCCGAAGTCTAGGAAGATTGTTGATTAGGAAAAGGTGAAAGACAAGGATCCGGGTCGAGGAAAAGGCACTCACCTGGTAAAACTCGTAGAGGGTTTGCCATGTCGGGGCAATCTGCTTGCAATGCGGGCAAATAGGAGAATAGTGTTTAACAAACCTAGGAATGGTTAGAACAACGGAGGAACACCTTGAGAGCCGTGACTACGGAGGGATCTCACCAGTAGCCATCCTTGATTGTGTCCTTGAAGGTATCGGGCGACAGCTCCTTCATTTGAGGCACTTCAATGCCATTGAAGGTGGTAGCCTTCACCTCTTCCGCATCAACTTTTACATCTTGATCGGAGGGAGCGGCAAAAGAGGCAACAGAGAATAACGAGAGGAGTGACCACGCCAGCAACGAAGCCCTCATCCTGGCTGTAGGTCAAGGTCGAAGACCCGAATGCGACACTGGAAAGGGGAAATGAACGAGGGTAAGAAAGTCGAGGGGTCTGTTGGACGAAAGACAAAGAGAGATTGGGATAGACGGGTGGCGAGAATTACTGTCGGCAGCACATTCAAGAGAAGAACAAGATAACGAGCGTCTTAATGCGGCGCGCGAACTGTGAAGACAGAAAGGCCGGATCAGCCACTGCCCGATAAAAGAGGATCTACAGTAAGTAGTAGATCGATGGATATGTTCAAAGGTCGAAGAACGCGGAAGTTCCGCAATTTCCTCGAAGAGCGAAAAATGGAAAGAAAAAGCGACACGAAAGGGAATCGACAGAGAGAGTAGACTGGAGAGTGAACGAAGCCCCTAAGGCGCCCTGTGGTCTGATAAGAGGGTCAACGCTGAGGGAGAAAGAGCGAGGAGAGATCGAAAGTGGCTGTACGGGGGCTGTTGGCCTGGAATCTCGGTTTCTCCGCCTTCCGACGGCACTTCATCCTTCATTCGGCTCCCGATCCGCTTCGAGATTCACGAAGTATCGCCAGCCATTGGGGTCAATTCTGTCTCTTTTCCCCTCTCCTCTCTCCTCTACCTAGTTCATTCTCTCCGTCACAATGAGGTCTACCCTCCGTCTGTTGGCGAACGTCAAGTCGCCCCGGTACTTGGAGCCTTTCGCTCCCACCGGATTGACCGGCCTGGTCACCCATCCCAGTCCCCGCCCGACCTTGATCTATCTCTACACCACCACTCTGCAGAAGTTGAAGGCCTTCCCCGAATCTTCCGTCTACCGTCAGTCTACCGAGGCATTGACCCGCCACCGCCTTGAGATCGTTGAGTCGACGAAACCCCCCGGATTCGAAGCTTGGTTGGAACGGGTGAAGAAGACCGTGGGCGCCGAGCCCGCCCGATTCGCCTCCCTTCGTCGCCCGGATGGCTCGTACGCCGCTTTCCAGAAGGATGACGGAAGCGACAACCCCCGCGGTGAGGAGTGGGATGGTGAATCCATCGAAGCGACTACCGAAGGTCCTACCCGTACTGCGGAGCAGGAAGCACGATGGGAAAAGGCCATTGCGGAGTCTACGAAGCCCGAGGACAAGGAGACGGATTTCTTCCCCGAGGCTATGAAGTGGGAGAACGAGCCTGCTCTGGAAGCACAGCAGTATGTTAAGGGGATTTTTGTTCGACAACCGTGAAGCTCGAGGCGCTGATTGTTTTTCTTTGTCCAGAATCTCCGAAATTGAGAACAAGATTGCCTCCGGCCTTATCGAAGAGGTTATTCAGGTCGCCGAGGGTGAGATGAAGCTCGTGGATGAGATGTACAAGTCCCAGGTGTAAGTTATCCGAGAGAACCACTCTGTGGTATATGAGAACTTGGCTAATTGATTATTAGCTGGGAGGAACTCGAAGAGAAGCCCCAGCCCGGCCAGTGGACCTACTTTGAGCGCAACACGTCCGGCTCGTCATAAGGGCTTAGATCTCAGAGATTTCGAACAACTTGTATTTATTAGCCGACGTGTGTCAAAATCGCGGGGGACACTGTTTTGTCATATTTATATCCATTATGTCAAAATCGATCTGTCTTTGATGACCTAATTTAGTGAACTAAACTGTTTGTCCAGGGGTCGTTATACGGGGTTCTCCATACTGATGTAGGGACGGTGGCCTCAGTAGAACGACGGTGGGGGCCGTTTAGACCAAACCGGGGAACAAAGGGGAACCAGGGATCCTCAATTGCTATGTGGAAGATAGGATAATCACCGGAGCATGTCCACCTGCCCGTAGAATCTTTCCAATCCTTCAATACTTCAATAATAATCACTATAGTTATCTTTTGCATATTCTATAGGACAGGGGAAACGCCCGGAAGCGCAGGCGGTGAAGACGAACCGTCGCTAGCCAGTTCCAGATAGCTGGCGGATCTCCTTGTGGACACATCGCTGCCAGTCCAGTCCCTGAGTCGCTTCGACATTATTCTTGCTGCCCGTTCTGGCCGGGGGCCTCTTCATTGCTTGCACTACCGATACTCTCTTCCTTAAGAAGCCTTACTTGCATCTCCGGGCTGGGCTGTCTGATCGGCTCGAGGCCTGGTTTCCCCTCCTTCTCATAGGCCGTCTCCCGAACCCGCACAGCGTCGCGATTCTCCTTTCTACTACACCATGAAATTGGACGTCAAGGTATGCGATCCTGTCAGAGGCGGAAAATCAGACGGAACATGGCTGGAATTGGCTGGTCGGGGTCCTGTGGCTAACCAGAATTGCGATTTAACAGAGACAACTCTTTGCCCGCTCCGAGCGGGTAAAGGGCATCGATTTCCATCCTACGGAGCCATGGGTAAGTGATTGTATCGTCATGAATTTTCTTTCCTTGCTAATTAGATACTAGATCTTGACCACTCTGTATAGCGGTGCGTAGAGCGACGCTGCGCCGACGTCTGCCCCATTGAATGCGCTAATTCGGAATATAAACAGGTCACGTTTACATCTGGTCTTACGAGTCCCAGGTGAGTTCGATAAGCAACATTACCAGCGAGAACGTGCGACTGATGAACCTCCCTTCTCTTATAGTCCATAATCAAAACATTCGAGCTCACCGATGTCCCCGTACGAGCTGGTCGCTTTATTGCCCGCAAAAACTGGATTGTTTGCGGTTCGGATGACTTCCAGCTGCGCATCTACAACTACAACACCTCCGAGAAGATCGCTTCCTTCGAGGCCCATCCCGACTACATTCGTTCGATCGCAGTCCATCCTACTCAACCCTTCGTTCTTACCGCCTCCGATGACATGACAATCAAATTGTGGGACTGGGAGAAGAACTGGAAATGCGTCCAGGTATTTGAGGGACACAGCCACTACGTGATGGGATTGTCCATCAACCCCAAGGATACAAACACATTCGCTTCCGCTTGTTTGGATCGGACCGTCAAGATCTGGAGTCTGGGCTCCCCGCACCCCAACTCTACCCTCGAAGCCCACGAGACTAAGGGCGTCAACCATGTCGACTACTACCCGCAGGCCGATAAACCATACCTCCTCACAACATCCGATGATCGCACGGTTAAAGTATGGGACTATACGACGAAAGCGTTGATTGCGACCTTGGAGGGCCACACGAGCAACGTTTCGTTCGCTTGTTACCATCCGGAGTTGCCGGTAATCATTTCAGGATCCGAGGATGGGACCATTAAGATCTGGCATGCCAACACATACCGACTGGAACAATCGCTAAGCTATGGTCTCGAAAGAGCCTGGTGTATCTCTTACCAGCGTGGTAAGCAGGGTATCGCGATGGGTTTCGACGACGGTGCAGTGGTTGTGAAGATGGGTCGAGAGGAGCCCGCGGTATCCATGGACGGATCAGGAAAGGTTATCTGGGCGAGACACAACGAAGTTGTCTCCACGGTCATCAAGGGAGGTGATGCTAGCATTAAGGATGGCGCACCCATCTCGCTACCGATCAAGGACTTGGGCTCCTGCGAGGTCTACCCACAGACGCTGTCACACTCTCCTAACGGACGATTTGTTTCTGTTTGTGGCGATGGCGAGTACATCATCTACACTGCCCTCGCATGGAGAAACAAGGCCTTCGGGCAAGCCCTGGACTTCGCGTGGGGATCGAAGGACAACAGCAACGATTACGCCATCCGGGAGTCATCCACTAGTGTCAAGATCTTCAAAAACTTCAAGGAGGTCAGCGGTGGCCTTGATGTCGGCTTCCAGGCCGAAGGCCTTACCGACGGTGTCCTTCTCGGTGTTAAGGGACAAGGGGGTATTGGCATGTTCGATTGGGAAACTGGAAACCTGGTCCGACGTATCGAAGTTGAACCGAAAGCTGTAAGCACTTTCTGACTGCTGATCGCCTGTGAATATTACTTACAAAATATCTAGGTTTACTGGTCGGAGTCTGGTGAACTGGTCACCCTTGCTTGTGAGGACAGCTTCTACGTGCTCCGGTTCTCGAGAGAGAACTACGTCAATGGCATGAACGAAGGCGAGGCCGATGAGGACGGTGTCGAGTCGGCTTTCGAAGTTGTGACTGATGTCAACGAGTCCGTCAGAACCGGTCAATGGGTTGGGGATTGCTTCATCTACACCAATTCGACGAACCGCCTGAACTACCTTGTTGGTGACCAGACCTACACAATCTCTCACTTCGATCAAGGGATGTACGTCCTCGGCTACTTGCCTCGGGATGGCCGGGTCTACCTTGCCGACAAGGATGTCAACGTTGTTTCGTTCGGTCTCTCCCTCAGCATGGTTGAATACCAGACGGTGGTGCTGCGTGGCGACATGGATCTGGCCGCGGAGCTGCTGCAGGACGTGCCCCAGGACCAGATGAACAAGGTTGCCCGTTTCCTTGAGGGACAAGGGTACAAGGAGATGGCCCTGGAGGTCGCCACGGACCAAGAGCACCGCTTTGACCTCTCCCTAGCCCTCAACAATTTGGACATTGCCCTCGAGATCGCGCGAGACGCCAATGTCGAGCACAAGTGGAAGATCGTCGGTGACACCGCCATGTCGGGTTGGAACCTCGCCCTGGCCCAGGAATGCTTCACCAACGCCAAGGACTTTGGCTCCCTGCTTCTCCTGTACACCGCCAGCGGCAACAAAGAAGGTCTCCGTAAGCTGGCCGAGTCGGCCTCCGAGGCGGGCCTGCACAACGTTTCCTTCTCCACCCTCTGGTCCCTCGGCGACGTCGACGGCTGCATCGACCTTCTTGTGCGCACCAGCCGGATCGCCGAAGCTGTTCTCTTCGCTCAGACTTACAAGCCCTCGCGGGCTCCTCAGCTCGTCACCCAGTGGAAGGAGTCGCTCGAACAGACCGGCAAGACCAAGATCGCTCGCCTTATCGGTGTTCCCCCCGGTGGCTCCGACACCACGACGGACGACGATCTCTTCCCCGAGTGGGACGAATACATCCGTCTAGAGAAGGAGGGCGTTGCTCCCGAGCCCCCGTCGTCGGAATCCTTGATCGACGTCGATGGA